ACAACCTGGAAGCAAGAAACTGATGAGTGACGACATGAAACCAGGAAGTTCAGGAGTGACGACCTGAAACCAGGAAGTTCAGGAGTGACGACCTGTATAGGGTCGTAGCTGTAATTCTTTGCGGGAGCCCCCGTCGTTCTTCATTGGATGTTGTCAGCTCGCCATCCTTTGTGTGGAGTTTTGTGGGTTCATCGTTCATGACCGGCCTCGCGGACGGCCGATCTGGGCAGCGTGAAACCACCTACGGAGCAGGCACGAGTAAGCGGGTGGTCCGGCAAGGCGAGCTCAGCCTGATTAGCGAGCTGAGCAAATGTGCGGACGATCTTGCCTGAGTGAGCTAGCGTATAGTGAACGAGCTGAAGAAGCTCGCCCGTACGGGTTGATATGGGTGATCTGATTTGTAACGATCTGATCGAGTTTGAGATCTCTAGATAGATCGTGGGCCAGCAACGAGCAGGTTTCTCGAACTGTTCAAATTTTGTTACGAGCTGGTTGAAATCTCTGGTGAGATCCTGAATTAGTTACGAGCTGGTCGAAATATCTGGAAAGATCACGAATCAGTTATGAGCTGATTTCTTGACCTTTTCCAATTTTGACTTAGGACAGATCTCTGAGGAAATTGTGTTACGAGCTGGTCCTTTGCCACTTTTTAAATTTTAAACCTGCGAAATCTCTAAAGAGATTTGGTTCAGAGCGGTTAGTATTCTCAATCCTCCCCTAATAAATGCTGGCTCATCGTTTGAAGAGACGTGACAGCTAAAGCCGGCGGACGTTACACGCCCAGCAATAAGTGCTTGCCACGTGTAACGTTTTGACTTGTTGGCAGAGAGGCGCGTACGGTAGTGCTAGGCACGGTCACGTAACCTCTCTGTTACCTTTGTTTCCATTTTCCAGTTCCATATTCTCTGTATTCTTCTGCAACAAAGGACCTTCACAGTTTTCAGGCGATCTTCTCAAGGAGTTTCAGTACCAATTTTTCAGGTAATAACAAATGGAATTTGTTAGTGGAGTAGGAGAACTCCGGGGTAACCAGGGCATGGAAGGGGAAGAGAACGTGATAGCCGTAGAACCCATTACCATGATTGTACCACCGGAACTGCAAGACGTGCCGGAAACCTCTATGGCGGAGAGCAGTGCCAGTTCAGGCGCGCATGAGGATTCCGGTGCTAACCCCTCTCCGTCATCTGAAGGGTCGTCATCAGAAAACACTGCTAGTGCAAGTAGCCCCTCGCCGGAAAGTATGGAAGTGGCCGTAAATGTACCTCCGGTTGTAGGCTGGGAAAACAAAACCATAGGTGGTAGGTTAAGCAACCTCCGCAAGGCGCCGAATACATTGATGGCTGGGTTTCGGTTTCGGGCGAACCTGCATCATGAGGTAGCAGATTGTTCTACCTCCATTAAAGGGTACAAGAGACTGGAGGAAGTGGTGAGACAATACCACGTTCCTAGGACAGTTTTGTTACGAACAGGGACCAAAAATGAAAGGGCCTGCAGTGTGTCAGCAACAGGGTGGATACCTGTATATGTGGACCATTTCGACGCCGGCCTGAGGTTTCCTTTATCCGGGTTGATTTTTGACATTTTGTCAGAGTACGAGCTGGCACTCACACAGTTGACTCCCAACAGTATAAAATTCATCGTAGGGTTTATGTTGTTGTGTGCACGGCTGGAGATACCTGCGAAGGCCATTGTTTTCAGGTCGCTATTTTTGTGCCGGCTGAGCAGTGCACAGACGAGGTGGTACTACATTTCTGGGTGAGAGAAAATGGCCGTCTTCAAGAACATAAGGAATAAGGTGTCTCGTTGGAAGAGACAGTTTATCTTTGTCCGGGATACGCGAGCAGAGAGGGTTAGCACCGATCTGGCAGCTCGTCTATCTGAGTGGCGCCCAAGGCATGCGCACATGAACTACCCCACATTAACCCCGGGCGACCTGGAGCTTAGGGATAGGATCACTAATTATGTGAAGGGAAGGGGGTTAGTTGATTTGGAAGCCCTGGTTATCCCTGAGGTGCTCACTTTGCGTGGGTTTGTGGATATCCCAAACCTGTTTAGTGAAGGTATATCTCTATTGTCAATTACTTTTTTCACGAGCTGAGTCTTATTGCACGTGTTTGTGCAGGAGAGATGAGTAGCATGCTTGAGAGACAACGGGAGCGAGCTCAGCGCTCTCGTGGCAGGGGAACTGGGTCTAGCGCGAGGAGGCAAACGCGCTTTGACGAGCTACCGCCTACAGCACCTCGCAGCTCGGTGCAGAGGGAATAGGGTTCCAGCTCGGTCTCGCGGCCACAGACTGAGCGCAGGGTAGAGCCCACACCTGCTGATGTACGGAGGCGTGCTCGCGACGAGTCCGATGCTGAGGATGACGTACCATTAATTCGGCGCAGGTTGGATTCCGGGAGACAACCTGGCGTGGTGCGTTCACCTGAGGCGCCCGTGGTCCAGCCGCGCAGCGCGGCTGAGGCACTTCCACCACCAGTAGCTAGCGGTGGGCCCTGGATCGCATACCCTGACGGTTTTAGCTACACTAAACCCGACTGTCAGCTCGCTATGGTCCAGGGTATGCAGAATTTCATCCCGCCTATGGACCGTCACCGTGCTAAAGGCTACATTCAACAGCACGGGACTCACGCTGCAATGCTGAAAATGATGGATGTGAGTATTGTGCTTGACAAACATTTTTTGTTGTGAGTTTAGAGTAAAAACTGATTGTAGACATGTTGCAGGCTCTAAGCTATTCTGTAGCTCTGTTCGAGAGTGAGCAGGCAGCTCGAATACAGAATAGGGAGCTGGCTGACACTTGCAAGCGGCTGTCCTCAGACAAGGCGAGCTTGGAGGATGAGGTGAATCGTTTGCAAAGCTCAGAGATGGCCAACAGGGCTGCATCAGCCGAGAGCCGGGCTGACGAGTTGCCCAACAAGGTCATCCAGCTGCAGGAGGAGCTGGATAAGGTGAAAGCTGAGAAGGAGAGTGGGATTCAAGCGGCCATGGATGAGGTCGTTCGCGCAGTGGATCTCAGGAAGAAAGTAGAGGCTGAGAGAGATGGCGCGCTGAATGACCTCAACGCCCTAAGAGGGCGGGTTGCTGTGGCCGACCAGGATCTTGCCCGCGCAGAGGAATCCCTGAGGCAGGCCAAGGCTCAACACCAGCGCTGTATTAGCATCGCGCGAGCTCAAGGCGCGGAATGGCTGGTTGGTGCTGACATGTTCCAGGACGCCGTAGCTGTGGCATCCATGAACGCCACAACTGAGATTTACAATGACGTTTGTGGTAAGGTGTTGAAGCACCGGCCGGACTTCCCAATCAACGAGCTCGCGTTTTTTGATGGTGAAGAGTTCAATGCGGAAGGGAAGAGCCTTGTTGAACCTTCTGACACGACGGTGAGGCTCCGTTGGGAGCTGAACGAGGAGGGATTGCCAACATGGCCACCGTCTGTCCTTGAGGAAGGAGAGGAGTATGAGAATCTGCCGAGGTTCGACACTTGGGCTGGTGATGCTCCTGTAGAAGAAGCTGAACCCTCAAGTACTCCTCCTGCTCTTCAGCTCACCCCTGCTGCCATCTCAATCCCAGCTCGTGCTGACGCGTCCTCTCCCGTGGATTTAACGGACGATTAGACTTAGGCTTTTTCTTTTTCTTATACTTTTGCATTTTCAACATTTGCTTGTTGGCAACATATTTTGTAGTCTCATGGGCACCTCATGTAATGAATTTGCAAAGAATATAATTGAAACGAATTTTGGAAAACTGTGTGTACTATTTCCAATAATTGCTCATACATTATTGAAATTTTCTACAATAATATAAATCAACTATAAAATTTTCTAAGGTTCTAAACGTTCCATGTGAATGGTAATTGACGCCCGTTCAGATATGCCAATACGTAAGATCCAGGTCGGTTAACTTGAGCAACCATGTATGGACCTTCCCAATTAGGGGCAAGCTTGCCCATGTGGGAACATGTGTTAGTTAACTCAGCCTTACGTAATACTAGATCGCCAACCTGAAACTGACGAGCTCGGACTCTTTTATTGTAGAATCTTGCTACACTACCTTGGTGTGCCATGTTTCTAATTCGAGCCATCTCCCTGACTTCCTCCACTAGGTCTAGGTTCTCTCTTAAGAGTTGCCCATTAATCTGATCGTCATGACGATCTGACCTAACAGATGATAGCCCGACCTCAACAGGGATGACGGCTTCAGCTCCGTATGCCAGGTTGAACGGGGTTTCTCCCGTGGCCGAGCTGGGTGTCGTGCAACATGACCAAAGTATTTTATTGAGCTCGTCAACCCAGTTAGAACGTGCGAATATAACACGTGTCCTGAGGCCTCGCAAAACGATCTTATTGGCAGACTCGGCCTGTCCGTTTGACTGCGGGGTGTACACCGACGTCAAGGAGAGCTCAATGCCATAGTCTTTGCAGAACGACCTCAGTGCTGCTGCTCGGAACTGTGGCCCATTATCGACGATAATCCGCTTAGGTATGCCGAACCTGCACACAGGTGACCGAGCTGAGCAAGGAACTGCGTTTGCATATAATTTACTTATGACTTAAGCGACGGAAGAATACCTGCACAATATTGAATTGAACAAGAATTCTTCTATTTTCCTTTCCGTTGTCATGGACAATGGTTTGGCTTCTATCCATTTAGTGAAGTAATCCACTGCAACGACCAGGAAGGTGCAGCCTCCTTTGCCTTTGATGAAAGGGCCGAGCAGGTCGACACCCCATTGAGCGAAGGGCCAGGGGGATGTAAGAGATGATAGCATTTCCCCTGCTTTCACAAAGGTACTTATGCTTAGCATACAGTCAAATGCGAAGTTTGCATGAACTTTACAACAAGCTGTGATACCTGGCATGTGAATATCATCAGCATTGAACTGGCAGGTCGGGCACTTTTTAACATAGCTCTGCGCGTTTTCCACCATGGTTGGCCAGTAATATCCGTGCCTTAGGAGCTTCCGAGCTAGAGTCCTACTGCCTATGTGTGTGCCACATACTCCTTCGTGAACTTCCCTTACGGCGTATTCGGCTTCATAAGGAGTAAGGCAGCGTAGTAGGGGCATTGAGGCTGCTCGTTTATAGAGCTGGTTATTTAACAACGTGAAATGTGCCGCCCTGCGTTTAACCAATTTTGCAGTGGCCTGGTCTTCAGGTAGCTCACCACTCTGCAGATAATTTATGAGCGGGGTGGTCCAGCTCGATGCAGAGGGGTCTGTGCTCAGTAGCTGACATTTGACTGTGGAATCGGTATAGCTCGGGGCGTCGAGTATCTCGACAATTGTCGACCTCTGAGGGTTAAGGTCTTGCGAGGAAGCCAGCTTTGACAGCTCGTCAGCTCGGTGGTTATCCGCTCTTGGTATTTTATCAATTTGGAAGAGAACAAATGCTGATTTCAATCTGTTGACCACAGAGGCATAACGACCGAGCTGGGGATCCCTGATGTCACAACTACCATTTACCTGGCCCACAACGAGCTGAGAGTCACTGAAGACCTGAATGTTTTGTACTTTCAGCTTGGACGCCAACTTCAGTCCGTAGATAAGGGCTTCATATTCTACAGCGTTGTTGGTCGTCTGAAACTTAAACCTTAGTGCGTGTTCGGACTTAAAGCTATCAGGACCCAATAACACCGCTCCAGCACCCGATCCTTCGACATTAGCAGCCCCATCTACATATAAAACCCACATTGGGTGTTCAGGTGCCTTTTCTCTTACAGCTGCCGGGGCACATTCGACCAAGAAGTCTACTACAGCTTGGCCTTTTATAGCTGTGCGCGGCTGAAATTTGAGGTCGTACTCACTCAGCTCGATACTCCATCCGATGAGCCGACCAGAGAGTTCTGGCTTCTACAATATTTTTCTTAGCGGGAAATCAGTATAGACGACAATCTGATGAGATTGAAAATAAGCCCTCAGCTTACGAGCTGTGCAGACTAAAGCAAAAGCAGCCTTTTCCGTTAGTGGGTAGTTCTGCTCAGCACCTTGTAACACCTTACTCACATAGCAGATAGGCTTCTGATTCTTATTCTCTTCCCTCAGTAGCACTGAACTCACTGCTTCTTCGGTGACTCCCAGATAAAGATAAAAACATTCCCCCTCGACAGGCTTGGACAGCAGGGGTGCGGATGCTAAATACTGTTTAAGCTCGTCAAACGCCTGCTGACATTCAGCAGTCCAGTGAAAGTTCTTAGGTTCCCGCAGGGCTTTGAAGAACGGAAGGCACTTTTCTGCCGATCTGGCTATAAACCTGTGCAACGCAGCTATCCGACCTGTCAGACGCTGCACATCTTTTATGGTCTTGGGTGGCTCCATCTGCTGAACGGCCTGGACCTTCTCTGGATTTACCTCAATTCCTTTCTTGGATACCACATATCCTAGGAATTTCCCTGATTCCACAGCAAATGTGCATTTCAAAGGGTTCAACTTCAATCGAGCTCGGCGCAAGTTTTGAAAAGTTTCATCCAGGTCGCCTACGTGATCCTCAGCTCATATACTGGTGACTATCATGTCATCCACGTATACTTCTATGTTTCTGCCGATCTGAAGCTTAAAGATGATTTGCACCAGCTTCTGGTATGTTGCTCCAGCATTTTTGAGGCCGAACGGCATCATGACATAGCAGTAGATTGCATCCCCAGCGTAAAAAGCATTCTTTTCCTGGTCGTTCAACTGTAATTGAACCTGGTGATAGCCAGAGCTGGCGTCAAGAAAACTCATCCATTCATGCCCAGCCGCCCGCTCCACTAACTTCTCCACATTTGGTAAGGGGTGAGGGTCTTTTGGACATGCGTCATTGAGGTTGGTAAAGTCGATACACATCCTCCACTTGCCATTTGGCTTTTTGACGAGCACGGGGTTGGATACCCACTCGGAGTACTCCACTCTCCTGATGAAGCCTGCTTGTAGCAGCTTCCGCATCTCCTCGTCTATGGCAGCTTGTTTCTCCGGGCCAAAAAGGCGACGCTTCTGCACCACCGGCCTTCTGGTGGGGTCCGTGCTGAGTTTGTGGACTGTCAGCTCCGCTGGGATGCCAAGCATTTCGTCAGTAGTCCATGCGAACACATCCTGATTGACCCTCAAAAATTCCAGGAGCTCTGCTCGTTCTTCTTTTGTGAGCTTGGTGCCGATCTTGACTGTTCTTTCCGTCACATCAGGGTTTAAAGGAACGGTTTCGACCGGCTCTACCGGCTCTGCTTTCTGCTCGACCCCCTCGGGTCTATGCTCAATGTCCGATATGCTCATTGTCTGCTGACCGGGCTGAGTCGGTTTACTATTTTCAGAGCCTCTCGGGGCTACGGTGAGCTCCACCTTCTTAAATGTGTCTTGATAACATGCTCTGGCCATCTTTTGATTTCCTTTGAGCACTCCTACCCCCTGAGGGGTTGGGAATTTCATGCAAAGATGGGGTTGTGATATGACAGCCTTCAGCTTGCAGAGAGTGGCTCTTCCCAATATAGCGTTGAAAGCTGACTCCATCTTGACGACCAGGAAAGTGATAGAAGCCATCCTGAATCTTGGTTCCGAGCCCACATAGATGGGAAGGGTAATTACTCCTTCAACCGGCACCGGCTGATTGTTAAACCCATATATAGGCCCTTCGTGCTTTTGCAGCGAGCTGGGATTTAGCTGCATTTTCTGGAAGCAACTCTAGTACAGGATATCTGGTGAACTACCTGTATCAATGAAGACCTTATTGACGTTATGGTTGCCTATATGAACCATTGCCACGAAAGGATCTGCATGTGGCATCATGACGTCGGGCTCTTCATCTGCTCGCTTGTAATCTGCCGGGCTGAATGTAATGGGTGTGTTCTCCCACTCCGCCTCCTCGAACGGTCGCTTCAAAGGCCTATTTTTGTTAACCGTCATCACCTGTCGGGCGTATGCCTTGCGTGCTCGGGCACTTTGGCCCCCTGAATGCATACCGCCAGAGATCATATTAATTGTACCAAACGGCGGAGGTATTGCGGTGCATCCAACTCCTCTTCTGTCTTTTTGGCTCTGGGCGGCAGGTCTCTGATCCTAGCTTCGCCTATTGAATTGGCGGCCTCTGTATGCTCTGCCTGGCTCGGAAAGGTATTGATTATCTTGATACATGTCCTGCGTGTTGCCGAGCCGGTACCTCTGCCCCTGAGGTCGGTCGTAGCCCTGCACGAAGTGGGTTTGAGCTGTTTGCTGGGTGTGAGGCTTCTGGACATACCCCTCTAATTTCCCCGTGCGAGCTAAGAACTCCAGCTCGTCCTTTCAGTGCTGGCAGTCTTCTGTGTTATGACCGTATACACGATGATAGTCACAATGCTTACTCTTGTCTGCCCTCGGAGAATCATGCAACGGGGGTGGGGGCCTTCTAATCCAATGTTGGATTTGTGCCAGAATTTGAGACCTTGGCAAGGTCAGAGGGACGTAGTTAGCATATTTTGGAAATTCAGCCGGCTTCCCCCACGGCTCATTAACTTTCTGCTTTTTCTTATCCTCTCTTCTTAGTAGCTGTTCCTGGCCTTTGCTTTGTTTATCATCAGCTCGCCGCTTCGACGACTGAAAGTCCTCTGATAGTATAAAGCTAGCTGACCTGTCATTGACTTCGTTCCACGTCTTTGGTGGATTTTCCAGTAAGTCATCTAGGAACCTGCCGCGCTTCAGACCGTGCAGCAGGGCAGACAAGCAGATGGTATCAGGGACGTTATCAATATCTAAAGTAGCCTTGTTGAATCGCTGCATGTAGTCCCTCGAAGATTCCCCCTCTTTCTGGTGAACTTGCATCAGCTCGGTCGCCGTGCGTTTAATCTCCCTTTGGCTCGCAAATTTGTTGGAGAACAGCTTGGCGAGCTGGGAGTATGAATCTATAGAGTGTCTGGGGAGTTTGTGGTACCATCTTCTAGCTGTTGACTTCAGGGTTGCCGGGAACACTTTGCACATCATGGCGTCGTTAGCGTTTTGGATTCTCATGATGGCCTGATAGGTGTGTAAATGTTCATTCGGGTCGCCCGAGCCATCATACGTCTCCAAGTGGGGGATTTTGAACCCCTCTTGATACGGCTCCGCTGTGATGGATAAGTTTAGTGGGGCACTATCTAAATCCAGAGTCTGTTGATGCGACCTGGGACTTTTCAACTCATCAATAGACTTTTGCACGTCCTGTAGCTGTCTCTCAAGGTCCGCGTTCTTTCTCATCAGTTCTTCACTGTGTTTGGACGAGCTGGGCTCGATATTCAGTTTCCCACTTCCCCTGGGCATGGTCGGTACTATTATGTTGCTTAGAGCGGGGGAGTTTTGAGTTGCAACAACCGCAGCCGGTTGTGCATCCCTGTTCAACAAAGGAATCAGGGGGTCGTCAGGAATTAGGCGGGCAAGGATTCTTCCCATTGCCATTTCGAGGACTCTGGTTCTCTCTTCGAGCTCGGTTGTCCGAGCAGGCTCTGTTGACCTTTCAGGTCGTTCATGCTGTGAATAGTGTGGTCTGGAAGGTCTTTGTCTTGTTCCTGTTGGAACTTGGAACTGTTCAGGCTGGGTTGCATACCCCGTTGGTGTTCGTTCATCATCCGTTTCACTTAGGTGCTCCTGTTCGGCTCCCCCGACGAAGAGGTTTCTTGGCATTGGCCTAAAGTCATTCAAACCAGGCTCAAATACTTGAGTGTCTTCCTGTTCGTCCGTCTCATTTCTTGGGGGGCGACCTCCTATAAAGGTTCGAACCATTTTCTTTCAGCAGGCTAAGCTACACGACTTCTTGCTCAGGTTCCCACAGACGGCGCCAAATGTTTGGGCAGTTACGCGATCCAACACTGTTGAAACTCTCAGCTGCTTCCACACTTGAAAATCCAGAGGTTGTTTCCTCGGGGAAAACACTCCAACGCTCAAGTCAGCAATACTCAATATTCTAGAGAGAGAAACTCTCAAGGAGTAATTGTAGAGAGAGAAGCGTAGAGATTAATTACCTTCTTCGGAGGTGGTTGGGGGGTATTTATAGCCCCAAGTGTTGACATGTATCTGCACATGTAAGCCTCTCATTGGCCCACGTGGTGCTGCC